TATTTTTTTGTGCGTAAATGCTGACCTTTGTTCATCAGAGTTGGATCAATGTAAATAACAGATATAAACAAATGCAGTAGTGCATGTTCAAGGCAGTGTTTAAAATTACATAAAAACACATTGCAGCTCCACACCGGGTTTTAGTTATATAAAAAATAAGTATAACAGCGTGCTCAGCTTGTAAAATTGTTGGTGTCCTGAATAAAGTGCCTTTGTCTGCATGTGGTTTCAGTGACAGAGTTAAAGCTGCTCTTCAGGCAGAAATAATCGTACTGGTTCAGTAAAACTTCAAGCAGGTGGAGCTTAAAGACCACTCTTCATTGTGGCACAAGTGTTGCTAACCTGACGTGGCCTTACTTAACCTTCGGTAACATAAAACCATGCAGCACTGATCCACTATACTAACAGGGTTGTTTTCATGCAGCCACAAATTTTTCCAGATACATATGCTAGTTCAGCATCTATGAAACCTTAGTATGAATGCTGCAAGGTCTGTACAATTTGTACTTTCAATTTTACTTGAAGCCCCCAAAAAGGCTGATGTCTGCACTGTTGTGGTGTGGCTCATGGTGGCCTTAGTTCTGTCTTTTTGGGTTGAGGTTTGTGCTGACACAGCTAAATGAGACAGTTTCATTTCATGAGAAAACTGGATAAGCGGCCCACATAAGGAAAAAAGAGAAAGTGGTTAAAAACTAAATGAGTGGCCAGTCATTTTTCTCACAGCCCAGGTATGTAGAAAAGGGTAAACCCCAGAAAGCTCATCCGTTTCCCTCAATTTGATATTTCTTATAGTCATCTGACAATGGAAACAAAATAATTTCCAAATCACAGACAAGTATAAAAGTGTAAAACTGATAACATGCACAACTACCATATAATAATAATATAAAATATTAGTTGAAAACATTAGTCATTATTACAGTTGATATTATGTTTAACCATAGTCTCACGATACCAGACACTCGGAGATATCATCGCCTGCCAATCGCCTGGGGATTTCTAAAAGCAAAGTAGTTGCTTGAACATCAGCGAGCATGGCTGCTAACCAACGTACCCCACTTACTTCAACGACACGCCTAACCTAAAACAAAGCTCTCCCCCCATTCTCCTCCACAGTGAAACTAACTAGATATAGAGAATCACTTTGTAATGCAGAGAGAGCTTTTTAACAACATTGAAAATGGATGTCTCCAGCAACGCTAAATAGTACCACCACCTAGTTTTAGCAACACAAGCCATTAGCGAGTCCTTAGTGAGCGAAGTGTTTAGAGACTGACTTAAATCCATGTTTACCTAATGCATATTCCTCAATAATGTTTTGTTGAATCAAATTACAACAAACTAAGTGATGCACAGCAAACCGGGTCCAGGTAGTACTAAAGAAATACTGCAGAGTTTCTTGGGCTAAACGCAAAATAATCACACTGCCATGTACAGTATAGTGTGCTGGGTGCTCTGTATTCACAGTGTACAGGGACTGGGAAGAAATGTAGGCTCAGTTGGAGCCAACGACTAATTTTTTCGATTCTGGCCTTGATCACAGAGAGACAAATATCCGCAATATTAACATTTTTTTGTAGTGGGGGAAAGTAACGAAACCCCTTGAAAAAAGCAGGTAGTCTATAATTGCTTTGCTGTGGGCAAACAATAAAGTGAAAACATCACATCAGAGTTGATAAACTTGACATTAAAAGTAATACTTCAGTTGAAACTTCCAACTTTTAAATTTGACTCACAATGTTGCTTAGGACCCTTTAACAGTTTGTTACCTCCTATTTTAATCTTTAATCCTCCATGTGAACATATGGTAGTCTACTGTACAACTATGAAATGAAATACCTAAAGGCAACATGCATTCATATTGATCCACAAGCCCTACAGGCAGATACATCATGAGTTTTACTGTGGGGCCCTGAGAGGAAATATTAAAGACAACCCCACTCTGCTTCCATTTCCACTTCCTCAAGCCACATTTCCACTTCCTCAAGCCATTGCCATTCTCTTTTTATCCAGTGTTTACGCCTTGTCAGTTAGTTTTGGCTTTCAAGTGTCTGTTATCTTTATGATACCTGGACCTTTACCTACATACCTGCCCGACTGCCTACCTGTGAGCTATTTCTTCCTCTGCGTATAGGTCCTATCCTTGACGCCAGCCGTGACAAAGATCCCCTCAGGACACATTAAATACTTTGCTTTCAATTGCAATTTTGGTCGCATATGTTTTTTTGTTTGTTTTTTCCATAACAAAGTTCTATAAGCTAGTAATAAATTCTTAAAATGATATCGACTCCTTCTTGCTTTGTTGAAAAATTCTGACTCTATGAATCATTTCAACATTTTAACTGCTGCAAACAAGATGTTTGGCTTTAAAACAGCATTATAGTGTCAAACTGCACATAAATCATTCTAAGAAACATCCAAGTGCAGTAAAATCAAGCAAAGTTTATTTCTCAGTGTAGGGTGGATTATAATTCATGTGACACGATTCATTCTGCACAGTAAAACAGAAATATCTGAGCAGATTAAACAGCTGCCGTTTCACACTTCTTTGAGGTGAAGCTGGACTTCATTGTTTTTTTGTTTTGTGTGCAGGTTTGCTGCTGCCTAGATGCACTGTCACAGGCAAATAATGTGCCTGCACTTTGCACAACATAACACCCACCTCTACTGTACTGAGGTTTCTCATAAACAAACCTCGCTTTTCCATAACTGTGCTGTGAGCTGTTGCATCTTCTAACAGCAACATAACAATGAAGAATGCATAAAAAAATAAACAAAGTTCAACTAAAGAGCCTGAACTGGTGAAAGCAATCAACATTACATTGAAAAAAAGCAACCATATAAAAAGAAACACAAATGTGTGTATAACAAAAAATTGTATATTTTTTTCTTTAACACATTTAAGAATAATTATCCCTGTAGTCATCTTTTGAACATTTACCAGAGCCTTTGGTCTATTGTGCAATTTCCTGTTTGCCTCATTTGCTCCTTTGGGTTGTCCAGTTGCCTGATTTAAAGGTCCAGTGTGTAACATTTAGGAGCATCTATTGGCAGAAATGGAGGGGGGGTTCAC